TAATATCTATAGATATAAGACACTTTCCACACGTTGCTTTTTACATTCGCCATGCTTTTCGTCCCTGCTGAAAGACAGTATTGTTAATAGTCAACTACAACTCTATTAGTTATGATTTTAATTTATTTTTTAGTAGTCTAAGGGCCAGTATTCACCTTTCTTTAAATATACTGGACAGATAACTGACAAATTCATTACCCTAATATAACAAGGTTGTATGTTAAAAAAAACGAAAATTGTAAGTATGTTTCTACAGGATTATATGTGGCCTACGCTTCACATACCACTTATAAATAATTCTATAGAATGTATATTCTATGTATACATATATATAGAGTTATTTTCAAGTATGTCAAGGGTGGATTACATAAAACCTTGTAGAAGCATAAACTCAAATTTTTCGGTTTTTTAACATACAACCTTGTTATATTACGGTGACGAATTGTTAACATAATTGCAACTATGACAATTGAGGAGGTCCATTCCAAAACTCGGCATATCCACTTTTTAATAAAAATGAGTTCGTGGTGTCTGTACATGTATTCCCCTATACCCTGAAAAGTTCATAATATTCTAAAACTCACCTTATTTCATTTTTTTTTTTTTATAATAATTTATTGATGACCTCAAAACAGTTTACAAAACTGGCACCGAGGCCTAAACAATTAACAAGATATTATTAACATAAATAAAGTTATTCCAAAATAAATAAACAAAATAAGTAAACAAATATTTTTTTCAGTCCTAACACTTAATCAGCTATCTTCTGTTTTCTAATAAATAGTTCTTAATGTTATAACACAGTCTTTTTGGACTTCCTTGAAATATTTCTTGTGGGATTTTATTATATTCTTGCATACTTCTGTAAATTGGTGAGTCCTGTCCTTTTTTGGTTCTGGCGTATGTTGTTCTCAATTCATGTTTTGTTCTTGTATTGTGTGGGTAAATTTGTCTATTTTCATGCAGTTTGATATTAGTTTTAAGATTACTATTTTGAATGTCATATATTAGTTTTGTTTGCTCTAGTGCTTTTAATTCATTTATTTTTAAAAAATTTACTTTTTTATAAATTTCCTCACTAGGCATGTAGTAGTTCATTCCATATATTACCTTAATCGCTTTGTTTTGTAGTCTCTGTAGACGATCTAGTTGTTTGACACTTGTATTTCCCCAGCAGGGAATTAGGTACCGTAAGTGTGGTTCTATGAAGCTGTTATAGAGTAGTTGCCTAGATTTTTCATTTAGTTGATGAGCACATCTTTTAATAGATCCCAGCATAGGTACTATTTTATTTGTCACGCCTTCTATGTGGTTATTCCAGGAGAGATTATCCTCGATTGTAAGTCCCAAGTATTTATATTTATTCACCCTTTTTAGATTTGCTTCATTAATTTTTATTTGGGGATTGCATGGTGCTTTACCTTTATGTTTAATAACCATAAATACTGTTTTCTGAACATTTATAGATAGTTTATTGTGGCACAACCAGTTAAAGTAAAGTTTTAAATCTTCATTAACAGTTTCTTCAAGTTGTTTTCCACTTTCCCCAGAATATACTAGCACTGTGTCGTCTGCAAATTTGAAGTATGTGGCTTTTAATTTAGTGTATTTCAAACTGTGCACATATAGCAGTGGTCCGAGAACAGAGCCCTGTGCAACACCCGTATTTAATGTTTGTTCATCGCTATTTTCACCATTTACTACAGTGTAATGCTTTCTACCAGTCGAGTATGATTTCAATAGATTGTGACATGTATCACGAAAGCCCATTTTATATAGTTTGTTCATCAAAAATTCAATATTTACTGTGTCAAAAGCTTTCTGTAGGTCAACAAATACTGCTATTACATATTTATTTTTGTCTAGTTCGCTGGTTATATGTTCTAATAGATCTACTGTTGCTCCTCGGGTACTGCTTTTTTTTGGAATCCATATTGTTGGTTGTCAAAATTAAATGTTGTTTCTAAGAATGTTGTTAGTCTCTTCTTGATAATTTTTTCTATAACTTTTGAAAAGGTGCTTATCAATGAAATTGGCCTGTAATTGTTCATGTCGTCATGCGTTCCTTTTTTAAAGATTGGAATAATTTTCGCTGCTTTAAGTTCTTCTGGAAAATTTCCAGTTTGCAATATGTTGTTTGTAAGCTTAACAAAAGTGGGTCCAATGATATTGATTAGCATTAGCAGGTCTTTTTTTATAATTGTGTCTATACCTGGGGCACAGTTATTTTTTAATTCATTTATTTTATCTGTTATCTCCTTTATGTTTGTTGGTTCTAATATTATGCTTTGTATATTTTCTTCTTCTTTGAAATGTATTTGTGTGTTTTGTACTATTTTCCTTGCCAGTGTTTCCCCTATTTTTGCAAAATGTCTGTTAAACTCTGTTGCCATGTCTTTATTGTTTTCTATTGTTTTTCCTGTTTCTTTTTTTATTTTATTTATGTTTTTATTTTTGTTTCTGTTACGATTGCAGATCTCATTTATAACTTCCCAGGTTTTCTTATGGTTTCCCTTAACTTGTTCTTTCTTTCTGCGTATGTTTTTTGTAGCTTTTTTCTTAGATTATTTAGTGTATTTTTAACTTTTTTAAATTCTCTTTCACTGTCTTTATTTTGTATTCTCTTCCATCGAACATATAGTTTGTCTTTTTCTCTTAGTTTTGTCAGATACTCTTGTGTGATCCAATAGTTATTTTGTTTAATTTTTATTGTCTTCTCTTTTGTACAATCCTTTTTAGTTTTATTAATAATGTGCGCAAGTTCTTGAAATGTTTTTATTTCATTTTCTTCCATTTTTATTTTCATATCGTCCAGCCAATTTTTTTCCATAAGATGTTGCTTTTTAATTGTTTCTTTTTTCTTTATATATATTTTCTTTTTCACTTCTATGTGCATTATTTTGTGATCTGAGAGGTAGTGGTCTTTTAGTTTAATCTCACAGGTTAAGCTTTTATTTGTTATCACATGATCGATGATAGACACTGTGTTGCTTGTTGTTCTAGTTGCATTCTGTGGCATTATACTATTTTGAATTTTAAAGGCATTGATTTCGATTGTGTTTTTGTAGTTATTAATAGTTTGAGAGTAGTAGTAAGTCTAAATTAAAATCTCCGACTATAATACATGTGTTTTTCTGTTTTTCAAGTAGCCTTTCAAATTCTGTTATAAAAACTTCGCCATTACTTTGCGGCGGTCTGTATATACCATAGACAGAGAGCTTATATTTTGGTAAATAAAAGGATGCAATGTTGCATTCTTCTATTTGTACATCGTACTTGTCATTTTGTACAAATTGCAGTTCCTCTCTTATGTAAATACTACATCCTCCACCCCGAGTTTCTCTACAATTATGGACAGCTACATATTTTCGTAAATTAAAGCAGTTTACTTCATTTGGATAAATCCATGTCTCTGTAAGCACTATAAGATGTATAGTTGCAGTGTTTTGGAGTATTAAATCATTAATTTCGTTTACCTTATTTCTAATGCTTCTAATGTTTATATACAAAATATTTAAGTCCTCTTTGGCAATTTTTTTTGGTCTTTTTTTATCACAGTTTTATATATTTATTTATTCACCCGCTTAGTGCAGGTCACTTTCATTTCTAATCCTGACAGGAGTATCGTTTTCCCCTTTTTTAATATATATTCTTCCATTTGCTACAAATGCTGCACAAAGTTGTTTGTCTTTTTTATGTTCTCTAGCTTTTTTAAACAAATACTGGTTCTGCTTTGTGAGGTCATCGTTAAAATAGATATTTTTATTTTCACCCATCAGCCCACATTCTCTGATTTTAATGCCTTTAAGCTCCTTCACCTTTTTAATAATTTTTTGTTTCGTACTTGTATTTTTGAATTTTACAAGTAAAGGGGAGTCTTCCCTTGTATTTATACGGTAAATATCTAAAATTTCACTATTGTTTACATCCACTTTAAGTGTCGCAATGATTTTTTGAACTGTTAATTCTGGTTTTTCCTCTTGTTTTGTAATCCCAGAAATCATCAAGTTATTTTCTCTTTCCTTTTGCTCAGTGTTGTTTAGTCTAGTCTCCAGCATTTCCACTTTCTGCTTCAGGAAATTGTTTTCTTCTTTTAACTGCTTTATTTCCCTTAAAACATTATCTATTGCATTTTTTTGTTCATCAAACCCATCAGATGCACTGACTTCTTCAATTCACCCATATCTTCTTTTAGTGTTCTGCTTAAAGGGTCCATATACCCTTTAAACAACTGTTCAACAATGTTTTTTATCTTGTTTTCATCCATTTCCTGTTCTTTTAGTGGGGTTTTTCCACTCCTAACCTCACTTTTTCCACCTGCCACGCAACAATTAACTTTGTTTTGACTATTTGCGACTCCGGCTTTTGCCGCACATCTAGGATGGTAGCTTGATTTACAGTTTTCACATTCAACTGAACTCACTACTTTCTTTTTGCAGTGTTTACACTTCTTTTCAACTTTTTCAGATTGCAAGGATTTGTTTATCCTTTCGGACATAACCTTACTTTAATATTTAAAATTCATTTACAAATTCTCTGTCGTTCCAAAACTTGCCTTTTGGTTATATCGGCTTATATGTATGTAAATTTAAATTGGAGCTATACCTTTTTAATCAAGGTATGTAAATGGTTTACTTATGCCTATATATTTTGTTTAAAGTATTCTGTTGGCCTGATTTGTGTTAGTACTCACGTGTAAGGTTTTTTACATTTTGCTCAAAAACAACAGTTAGTTACTAATATGGATAAGTCGAGTTTTGGAATGCACTTCCTCAATTAAGCGTTGGGTAAATTTAGTGAAAGGTGAATATACTGTCCGTAAATGATATTCTTAGGGTGGCAAAAACAAATTTTTAGTTTGTATAGTTATGTAAATTACATACATGTATATTTTTTTATATATATAAGTTTGTTCTTTTATTGGAGTTTTACTTCGTTGGGCAAATACCTTATTATTATTTTTATTATAATTATGAGTAATAAAAGTATATTATTTTCAGACATGGGGCACAAAGTTTAGCTTTAAGTAAATTTATTCCCGATATTGTAAAGTTGCTATCAGATCCCACTTCAACAGTCCGCGATACTGCTTTTATTACATTAGTGGATTTATACAAACATGTAGGGGAAAAATTAAGATCTGATTTGCAAAGGCGAAATTTGGTTCCTCAAGCCAAATGGTCCATATTATTAGCCCGATTTGACGAAGTAAAAAACAGTGGTGAACTTATGCAATCGGCCAAGACTTCTGAGGGTAAGTAAATATTTAAAATAAATACTGTATATTAGAAATACTGTAGTACTAATACTAATACTAATAAATAATATTTATATTTTTTAAACTAAAAATCTTAAGATAATATTTGTGAGTATGACTATGTGAAACGTATAGCTGGCCACATCAGTAAAGTTTCTCGCGTACCCCGCAAGTGCATCCGATACCCACTGTCCGGTTTTCTACCGTTTAAAGCAACTGCACAGCTTTATCCGTGTTTTCTGGAATTCGCGAGCGACATGCCAAAGGTTTTAGTTAGCCCTTCCCGGAATTCGCCGGACCGGACTATATGCCCTATAGGATTGGAAAGGTACTAGGAACAGGGAGGATAGACATTTTGGTTGTCGGGGACATTTTGGTTATCGACCCAAACTTGGGTACGACGCAGAATCTTTCTAGACCGCTTAAAGTAATAAATAAAGTTGCCAGTCTAGATAAACGCATCATAAAACAGTAAAAAACAGCTTATTTTTAACCCCTGAATTAGAGGTGAATCGTATTATCGAATCGAGACTTAAAAACAAAATGTTTGCAGGTCTTGATATTCTACCTATAAGTTTAATAAAAATGCTCTGAGTATATTTCTGGCCCACTGACGCACATAATTAATTCTTCATTTGTAAATGAAGTGTACCCGTCAACATCTTGTCATCCCTATATAAAAAGGGGGACACCAAGTTTTCGTATACTGCATGCTGAAAAGGCTTACCACATTCCTCCATATTAAACAAATTATATATTCTTCCCAGCATTTGTTTCGACAAAATATATTAACTCAGACGGCTACACTCTCATTCTTGAGTAATCTTCTCTATAAAATTGACGCTGTAGAGTGCCCTGTTGGGATCTTTTGAGATCTCAGCAGGGCATTCGGCTGCGTAAGACATGATATACTAACTGATAAGCTCTTCAGATATACCTGAAAAATAGACAACAGCCGGTTTAAATTCACCACAGATCTGATAACCTCTCAAAAAATGTAATAAAATCCGGAAACAACAAATATTGGTGTCTCCCAAGGCTCAAGATTAAGGCATTTATTAGATAACTTTTGGTCATGTACGCAGACGACAGGTCAATTTTAAATTTTTTTTAAATTCAGAAGATTATCTGAACTTTTGTCTCTTGACAATATGCCACCACATATCGACTTGGATTAACGCCAATACCTCCTTAACTTTGTTTTTGCGTTTTCACACTTCACAAAACAGAAATGTTAAAAATGTAGATATTTCAGTGAATAATATAAATTTAACACAATCTAAGAATGTGCTCTTTCTAGGAATCACAATTGACAACAATCTTAGTTGGCAAAACCTTATAAAACGTACCATATACTACTAAGCTAGTCATGTTCTATCATGCGCATGTTCAGTATAGGCTGTCCTATGGAATATTACTCTGGGGCCTTTCTAAAAACATTGAAGAAGTGTTTCTCTTGGTAAAACAAATCATTCGTAGTATGGCGGCAGTTCACTACATCTACCCATGTTAGGAACTCTTTCAACAATTTAATATCTTCCCCTCCCATGCATTTTAATATTGGAGTTGCTAATTAGCTCTGTGTTTGTAGACGTAAGTTAACTTACGTCTACAAACACAGAGCGAGCTATGTCAATAACAACCTGGTTCACAATCATGACACAAAATGTTCTGGTAAAATTCATATACCTACCCTTAATGTTAATATTTGCAAAATTTTCGCAGGCGTATGAGCCCTGTTCACGAATGTTGTCCGGGTTCAATTAAAAAATATATTTCAATGTTTAGTTGGCAAAACCTCATAAAACGTACCATATGCTACTAAGCTAGTCATGTTCTATCATGCGCATGTTCAGTATAGGCTGTCCTATGGAATATTACTCTGGGGCCTTTCTAAAAACATTGAAGAAGTGTTTCTCTTGGTAAAACAAATCATTCGTAGTATGGCGGCAGTTCACTACATCTACCCATGTTAGGAACTCTTTCAACAATTTAATATCTTCCCCACCCATGCATTTTAATATTGGAGTTGCTAATTAGCTCTGTGTTTGTAGACGTAAGTTAACTTACGTCTACAAACACACAGCGAGCTATGTCAATAACAACCTGGTTCACAATCATGACACAAAATGTTCTGGTAAAATTCATATACCTACCCTTAAAAAGGCCGCAGTCAACGTACGGTGCTAAGCTCTTTAATGAAATTCCCAACGATATACCTGGTCAAAACAATATTTATCTTAATGAAATTTCCAACGATATACGTGAAATAAGAAATAATTACCTGGTCAAAAAGAGGGTGAAACAATATTTATCTACTCCTATTCCATAATTTTGGGTTTTTTTCCGTGAATATTGTTAAACATTATAAATTTCCTGCCTAACAACGTGAATATCAGTGATTGGCCGATTTCAATATTCACTGTGATTTCAACCAATCGAGTTTTAAATTGGAAAAAGGCGACTATAATAACATTTAAAATTGGTAAAAAGTGAGGTTAACCATTTGACAGATATATAATAATAATAATAGCCTGCATTATCTCTCGTATAATAATATACTATTCTAAATTAAATGTTGAAATGACATTAGAGACCTTGCCTGGCAAATGTGTCCTTATGTAAATGTAATATTTAAATTTTAAAATTATTATTATGTATTGTCCTACATACATAGGTAAATTACATATCACAGGTAAAATAAACTTTTTTTTACCTGTGATATTGTAATTTACCTATTTGCCTATCATAATGTATGTGGGTATTGACTTATAACAATTTGTGTTATGTAATTGGAAGCTATAGTCAATATATTGACTTATTATACAACTTGTGTTATACTCGTATAGAATGTTAAATAAATTGAATTAAATTAAATTGAGACCAGGACGTTAGTGTTTCCGGCTGGGGTGTTTTTAATTCGCTGTGGGAGCCTTAAAGTCTTGTGCTTAGTTCGTGTCACTGTTGCGTTTTCAACTTATGTTCAGAGTGTCCCAATGTTTGTTCGTAATTGTTCGGTTGCACAGTGCGACCCTGTCGATGTGTGGTAAGTTGGAGCAAGGCCGTTTCTAGAAAAAATATTTGGGGCCGATTGGTTAATAAAAAAAAACGCTAAATGCGTTGCCCTCTGTAATATTATAATATAATATACTAATAAAAATAGTATAATATAAGAACAGTGTATTGAAAGAGGAAATCAATGATCTACACACCAACATTGGAGATAATCACAAAATTACACAACACCTCAGAAAATCTTGAAACTTTTATTTATTTATTTTTTTGTAATTTATTTATTTTTAAATGTTAAATTGTATAATTTTAACATTCGTTATAAATTTATATATTTACTGTAAATTAACCGGCTGAGAACTACTGTCAATGGACTTTGAGCTTCTATAGTTCTATTATTATTATTAGTATAATATAAATATACATTGTGTCCGTGGATGAAGTACGCAATAGGAACAAAATCTTTATTATTCATTTTACGACATTCTTTATAAAAAGTTTGCTTATTAAGAAAATTAATAAATTAGAAAAATATTAAAACACTTTAAGAGCCCGGACAACAATCGGGATTTCCTGGTGAAATCATGATGATATCACAACGTGATTTTTTTTATCACGCTGTGATATACTGAGTGCATACACATGCTTCATCACAGTGATATCATGTAGAACTCACGGTGTGATATTTGCAAAATTTTCGCAGGCGTATGAGCCCTGCGAACTGCGAATTTAAAACCTAGTTTGTTATTCTCATTTTTTTTTTCATTTCATTTATTTATTCAATCATTATTACAAAACATATTTATACAGTCGTTTTAATCCGCCTAAATTACACCGTTATAATTTATAAAACGTTGTTTGAATATCACGAATGTTGTCCGGGTTCAATTAAAAAATATATTTCAATGTTTAACAAAACGTGAACGTTTTGTTAAACATTGGAATATCTTTTTTAATTGAATGACAACATTAGTGATATTCATACGAACATCATGTGATTTTCACAAATTTTATTCATACTGATATCATACGGAAGTAACCGCGTGATAAATGAAAATCATACGAACGTCACGTCGTGATTTTCACAAATTTTATTCATACGGACATCATCCGGTTGTCACTGCGTGAGAAATGAAAATCATGTCATTATTCCAACGGTGTTTGGATAATCATTTTTGCGCCACGTTCGTACATTGTGAGAAAATTTATGTTAACAATTGAATTAGCAGTTTTTGCGGTTAAATACATTTAAAATTTTCTTGGATGTAAATTAACTATTAATTTAAATCCAAAAAAAATATTGAATGTATTTAACCACAAAAACTGTCGATTCAATATACAGGGATGGTAATGGGCTTTTAGGCCGTTTAATAAACAAAGATGCATGCTATATAAAACGTACGAATAAGTGAGATAAACGTATAAATAAGAGAGACAAACAACCATTGTTGAACGAATAGGATAACAAAATACTTATACTTAACTGCTTTACAATCCCACTACTAGATAACCTTGACGCAAATTTCGCAATCGAGTCTCGAAATAATTTCAGTATTATTCGGTCCACGTTGGAATGCGGACGGAGAAATTTTAAATTTCCTTTTAAATTTAACTATGATTTTGTTTACAAAAACGAATACTTATTGAATTTTTTTCGAAAATGTGGAAAATAAACCATAGTATTCTTGTAATAAAAAAAAACAAATATTCTTAAACAAAAATGGTATTCTAAAATGTTTAAATAAATAAATTAAAGTAAATGTTTAAACAAAAATGGTATTCTAAAATATTTAAATAAAAAAATAAATAAAGTAAATGTTCAAACAAAAATGGTGTTCTAAAATATTCAAATAAAAAAATAAATAAATCAAAGTAAATGTTCAAATAGGCCCCCAAACGCTGCTGTACAATAGGCGAACCTATTATAAAAATTTTGTCGTACATTTGATAGCATTTCAGGTCTGATATTCCTTAATGTATTAATT